GGGGTGAATACTGGAAGGTCAGAGAGACAGAACAAGCCACAGCTATCTCACCTCACCAGTTCCTCAGCTGGTCCTGTTTCCTCAGACTGGAAGACTCATCCGGAATGAATCCCAGCTGAATTGTGCTGCTTCAAAGCCTGAATGCTTAACCAGCTAAATTGCTTAACCAGCCAAAAGCTTCTAGTTTCTGGTCCTCACGCCTTATATATCTTTCTGCTTTCTACCACCACTCTCTGGGATTAAAGGCTGGCTTTCTGGGATTAAAGGCGTATGTCACCATGCTTGGCTTTTTCCAATGTGGCCTTGAACTCACAGAGATCCAGAGGGATTTCTATCTCTGGAATGCTAGGATTAAAGGTGTGTGCTATCACTGCCTAACTAGTGGTTTTCTGTTCTCTGACCCCAGATAAGTTTATTAAGGTACACAGTATTTTGGGGAACACAATATCACCACAAGGCTAGAACTCGGTTTTTGCAGTTCTGGGCATAGAATCCCACCCCCGCCCCACACATTCACAAGGTAAGCACTCCATTACTGAGCTATGTACAATCCCTCTCCACCTTTAACCATCCTATCTCAGCCCCTCTCCCCTCTCCCCTTCCCAGCCTCTGCTAATCACTCTTCTGACCTCTATGAGAGTCGGCCATTATGAAGCAAACACGTGCTGTTTGTCTTTTGTTGACTGCCTTATCTCACTTTGCATGTTATCCTCCTGCGCCCTGCATATGCCACAAGGAACAAGATTTCATTCCTTTCCACGCCTGGATAATATCCCATCACGTGCCTCATCTCCTTTGCGCACTCGTTGGTTGGTAAACCCATGGATTGAGTTCATGTCTTGGTTGCAAAGCACAGCACCACGGTACACATGAGGACACAGGGACCTGCTGTGCCCGGTAGTGGGACTGTCGATCACAGTGCCATACTGTTTTAGTTCTGGAGCTTTAGAGTAGGTTTGAAGGTCTTCTGTCATTTTCCTCTTCTATTTCGTGACTGCTCTTGCCCATCTTCTCCTCCAGCTTTCAGATTTGTGTGTTGTATTCTGTGTTGCACATAGATGCATTAATGCTCTACTTCTGGGACATAGTCATTCACTTCTGCCGGGTGCCTGGCCACCATCGGGAAGGGAGGGCTCCCACCACCTTCATTTGAACATGCTGGCCTATCTGGCAATTCTGCTCACAGAATTCTGCTAGTCGTAAGAAATAACTAGCTAGTTGTTTAGGAACAGGACCTAATTAATCTGGAACAATCGCTTCAGCCAGATCTCTGTTGCCTAGCAGCAACTGGGCTGAACCCAACTTTACCTTTTGTTTCTTATTCTAATGCAGGAGCCAGACTTCCTTTCTCGTGTTTGCTTTCCCGCTCAGCACCCTGCCTTCTCCACACACTTGTCCTGGTCAAAGGAGGTATTTATGGTGGAAGGCATCTGATGCTTACTTATTTGGAGTCTGCACAGTGGAGGTCCCCTCCCCATTTCCCATTTCCCACTTACACATCCCCAGCTAACAGATCTCTTCCTTTCCTAATCTAGACATTACTTTGAGCCACAGAAAGGGCCTGGCAGAGAATTCAACTGTTGCAATTTAGTGAAATGAATAAATAATTTCTCAGCATGGCCTGTGTAACCCCGAGTATTGATAATGCCAAAGGGGAAGGTGTTCTACCAAGGGACTGACCAGGCATTCACCCAGTCCTTTGCTGCTTCCAGCCGGCAGCCTCGCCCAGAGCCTGCCACTTTCTTACTGCATTTAGGTGCAAGGCCGCAGAGAAGAAGCATCATGGCAATTCTCCCACTGTTCTACAGCGATACATCCCCTACCCTCAAAGCTTTGACCTCAGTGAGATAGACCATGAGATAGAAGAGGACTCAGGACTGCCTGTCATTGGCTACCTGCCCTCGAAGAAAGGAATCTCCACATACAAGTTCCACCTAAGCAGTAGCTCACAAGCTACCTCCACTCACAGCCCTTCCAGCTCTGGAACAGTTTGCAGGCTCCAGTTATCTCCCATGTTCTATTCTGTCTCAGAGTAAAGCTCCCCAGATGTGGTGGCATGAATGACGCGTGTGCACGCACCATGTGCGTGTGCAGGATTACGCCATGTAGTAGAGATGTCTGGAAAGCACCGCAGTGAGGAGTCACTGGGTTGCAGGGGATAAAATTCATCTGAGCTCATTTTTGTAGAAAAGGCACTTCACTGACAGGTTCTGGAGGTGTGGCATCAAACCAAGAACAGGAGACGATGGATGGAGCTCCGGAAAGAGGGGGCATGGCAACTTCTCTCCTTCTTCCCACTTCCTGACAGACCTGCTCTAGTCCATAGAAAACCCCAAGAAAACCATAACACTAATAAATTATTTTTAGAATTTTTTTGGTTTTTTTGTTTTGTTTTGTTTTGTTTTTTGGTTTTTCGAGACAGGGTTTCTCTGTTATTTTGGTGCCTTTCCTGGATCTCGCTCTGTAGACCAGGCTGGCCTTGAACTCACAGAGATCCACCTGATTCTGCCTGCTGAGTACTGGGATTAAAGGCGCGTGCCACCACTGCCCAGCTATTTTTAGAATTTTTAAAACATCTGTGAGATGTCCTAGCAGATAAAGACCCTTGCTGGGCAAGCCTAGTGACCTGAGTTTGATCCCTGGAACCCAAAGTTGTCCTCTGACCTCTCCACATGTGCTGTGACACACTCACTCCCCGCGAGGCACAGAGAGAGAGAGAGAGAGAGAGAGAGAGAGAGAGAGAGAGAGAGAGAGAGAGAGATCCACAGAGCTGCCTCAGCCCCAAAGTCACAACTGCCTTTCAAGAATATGAAAGGAGACAAAGAGGGTTAGGTCATCCTGGGCAGGGCAGGACAAAACAAAAGACCCCCCAGTTTACCAGAAAGTTGTGGAACCTACAAGTCTGAGTACCTCCTGCCCCTTGGTGGAGAGGCAAGTGCAAGAGCCCTCTATGAAGCCTCTGTGTAGAGTGCCGCAGCCCTACCCGAGGGGCTCCCTACCAAGGGGCTCCCTACCCGAGAGGCTCCCTACTCGAGGGGCTCACCATGAATGCTTTTAAATCTCCAGCCATGCTAATGTCACTAGTAAGGAGCCGGAAGGGGACAGCAACAATTCCTCCGTGTCCCCCCTTGGAGCAGTGAAGGTTGCTATGGGGAGATGGTCTCTCGGGGACATCAGTCTCAGAGCATCCAAGGATGAGCACATTTCCGATAGGGGGACAGTCTCAACTTCTGTGATTTGTCCTGCTTCTCTGGATCACATCTCACTATGATCGCAGCCTGGCAACCCAGGGTCAGGAAGATTTTTGGTCCTTACCTTGGTTGCGCCACTTAGCAGCTGTGGGGACATCACTCAAGTGGTCTAAGGTCACTGGGACTCAGCTTCTTGCCTGACAAATGGGAAACACATCATACTGTCTTCTAGTATGGTTGTAAGGAATCTTTAGTGAGATAGTCTATGTGGAGTACTGTGAATTCCACTTGCCGCATTGTTCATGGTGAAGAAATGATGCTGAACAGTTGAGGGTGGAGCTCACAGATAGAGAACATACCAAAGGCACGGGGGGGGGGGGGGCATGTTTGATCTCCAGCACTGTGTGGGGTGGTGGCAGCGGCACTGATTTTATTTGTCGGCCAGCAAGTCATCAATGATGATTCTTCCGAGGAACAAGGACCAGATGTCTGCGCTGTGCTGTGCTGGGTAGGGGTGAACTCTCAGAGACTGAGCAGCTAGGAGGAAGAGGCCCACAAACCACAGTAGGGCACTGAGTCCTTGTTCTGGATCAAAGTTCCCATTCGGAGAGAGAGGCTCTCTTCACCTTGTTGCAAAATGCAGCATGCAGACTTGACAAGCACAGCACAAACAAGCCGGGCGGGCGAAGACATGCAGTTAAGAGGACAGAGAAAACCCAAGGAAAACAGGAACCGAAGGCCTGCAGAAGAGCGGTGTGGAGGAAGGGCCCTTGGGATGGCCCACAAGACAAGCCGGTATTCACAGAAACTTCTGGAAGCCTTTCCCCCACTCCCTACATCTCTTTACATTCTGCCAATGGTAATATCCACTTTGCTGTTAGGCAGCCTTGGTTTGTTTGTGTTTCCTCTCGCCATAATTGAAAGGTAGGCCATCCTTTTGTATTGCAGATTATCCTGACAGAAAGGAACAGTTATAACTTGTGAAAAGGCAAACAAACTCTCCCAGCAGCGCTGAAACTCTCCTCCTGAAATGCCTCAAGAATGGGGCTGGGGGTGGAGACGACACAATAGAAGTTCCTTCTGCCCCCAAGAGGTTTAGGATGCAGGGCCACTGCTCTCCAGGGACCCTGAGTCCCTTGATGGGCCCTTCCTTTCAGCCTGACTGACACTCCGCTGAAAGCTGACTGATCTTCCTGAAGGTCTGGAGACTGAGGAGGCTTGCATGTCCTGCTTCCAGGTGCCATGAATTTAGTGCAACCTGAGCCTGGATCCTCCACCTTCACCGAGTGTTGTGGGGTCTGAGGGCCAGTACGCTGTGTTAGCGCACATGCGCGCATTCCATGACTTCCACAGCCAGGATAGCAGCACCCTGGGAAAGCCCATCTGGGTCCCTTCCCCATTCTTCTCCACCCCATCCGTGGACCATCCTGGGCATGGACACTAAGGGACGGGGCCTGGTTAGAAGACCCCAAGTGGACTTCCTTCTCAAGTGCCTTCTTGTCTAGAAAGGGGAGGAAGCAACCAGGGTACACAGAGAGAGCATCAGAAGCCAGGCTGTGTCAAAAATCAAAACCCTACCGAGAAGTCTCCAGTACTTCTGATGAATGTGCGTTCCCAGGCACAGCCTTGCCCTCTTGGGGGTGGGTGAGTGTGTGTGTGTGTGTGTGTGTGTGTGTGTGTGTGTGTGTGTGTGTGTGTGTGTTCCAGTGAGCTGCCTAGAGGAGGTCCTGGAAAGAAAGGAAATCAGCTGAGTGCAGGCTGCTGACCCTTCCCCCCCAGACTGCCAAGTCATTCATTAACGTACCTCAGACTCCAGGGGCCTTTGCCATGTTGCCTGGCTGTGGCGGGTGCCTCAGGCTGATGCCAGGCAGTGTCCTGCTCAACCGCGAGGGAGGTGATATGGGACAGCTTTCGCTAGTACAGTGAAGGAAGCGCTGTGACTTGCATTGAATTGGTTTCCGCCCTTGGGCAGAAAAGAACTTAGTCTGTGGAATCTGAGAAAACATAATCAACACATAATAAACACAGGCAGGCCTTGAGAATAACAGGAATTAGGAATCTGAGTGCGGTCAGAACCGGCTCCCTCTCTGTTTTCTACTTACAAGCTAGTCTTTCCATAAAGACCAGCTCTGACTGGTTTGGTGGTACACTCGCTCCTAGGAGTCCAGCCCCACCCTCACACTTGGGAGGCTGAGGCAGGATGATCATGAGTTCTAGGCTAGCCGGAGCTATGCTATAATAGCTTTTTAAAGAAAAGAAAAAGAAATTTGAGAAAGACTAATCCTGTCCACATGCAGGAAATCCAGGCAGCAGCTCCAAGGCCTAAGAGTATTCATTTCTTTTCCTGCTTGAAAAAGCCCCTTGGAACTCCACTGGTTGACGTACTTTGTGTGGACGCCTTTATTGGGCCAATCTTCTAGTAAATTACCTGCCTTCTAAAGAAACCACTTACTCAAGAGGAGGATAGAGGAGCAACAGAATAAAAACCGGCAGATGACTGCAAGGTCAGACAAAGAGATGGGAGGAGCATCATCGTCTCTCTTGGGGAGGGTTGCCAGATACCTGGTATGCAGTCAATGCATGGGACGTGCTCAGCATTGTGCATTCACATTTATCTGATATTCACATATGCTGGGGTGGCCTGCATTTTTATCTACTCAATTTGGCAGGCCTCTTCCTGGTACTCTAATAAGGAAGATGGGTCTGGCTTCTGGATTGCTTGATAGCAATATCGCTCAGCATTAGGAGAGTGGCCAGACTCTCTGGTTGGTTTTCTGAACTATAATCCCTAGGGTTAAATTAAGCAACAGCAGGGACTTTGCTGGAAGGCCACCACTTTACACAGTTGCAGGGATGGCATGCAAACAGTGCTCCGTGATGCATGGGGAGGCTGCTCTGGTTCTCAGGAAATTCCCAGAATGGAGAGAAGTCTGGGTGCCCATGCCTGGGGAGGATAGGATCCCAGACCGCAACCTTCATGCAAGTAACATCAGGCTTCCTGCCTGTTACCTACAATCCGAATCTTTCTCCTGCCTCTTCAAGAGTGAGCCAATATATGAGCAATAACCTTCAACTTACCCTAACTTATTAATCATATAGCCCTGCTCAGAATTAGCCCTGCTCAGAATCATACAGAACAAGACAACTAAGTCCTAACTGCTGTTCATCTTCCTAGCCGGGCCACCATACTGGATTCCCAGGAGAGTCATTCTGGGTCACACAGCTAACCATTGGAGAGGATGGACATTAGTCCCATGGAAAAGGCAGCAGGCTTTTCCCTGAAAGTAAAGCAAGGTAGTGCTAGGAGGAACAGGTAGAAGGAGGCATGGAGAGACAAGCTCCCTGAAGGCCTGCTCTAATGAGTCTGTGTCCCTGCTGTCCCTGTCCATGAGGAGTGGCACTCACTCTATGCTGCTGCAGAGCACGAGGGTGGCCATGGGAGTGGGGGGGCTTGACAATCATGAAGCTGACCCTGTGCATGGTGACTGGTTACTAATAATGCTCCAAACCCTTTGGAAAAGCCCACACGTTAGAGAGTGTATCAGGACAAATCCTCACCAACATCACTCTGGCCAGGCATGGTGGTACACCTCCATGATCCTAACACCTGAGAGGCAGAGGCAGGAGAATGGCGATTTCAAAATCAGTCAATGCTACTCCATAGCAAGACTTTGTCTCAAAAAAAAAAAAACTACCCCCCAATGACTTAGAAAGGAGAGATACATAGGAAAGTGGGGGAGAACTTGGGAAGAGAGGGTTCAGAAGAGTCAGAGGGGGCAAGAGAGAAGAGTGGGCCATATATTTTAGGGTGTGTGTGTGTGTGTGTGTGTGTGTGTGTGTGTGTGTACATACATATATATATATGTATATATATATGGAATTGCCAAATAATCTTTAAAATCTAAATAAATAAGTAAGCAACACGTCATCTTGACTGCCTTGCTCCACGGTGGGCATTTCCGATTGGGAAAGAAGGGTGGAGAGTGATCCGTCACAAGGAGCCCACTGCCACAGCCACCAGGAAGTGCCCACCAACCCCACTCACTGTGCATGAGTTACTTACTATACTGCTTGGCGCTTCTGCTAGGTCAAGGTGAACGGGGCTGTACATTACCCTGGTAGGCTCATGAGTATGAGTCCTGTATGTACTGGAAAGCAATGAGAGTCTTGAGGGAAGGGGCTGGGTCTTAGATCAGTGAGAGGAGGAGATAGGTCTGGATGTTTAGACTCAGGACCATCATCCTGCTCACCAAACCAAAGGTGCACATAAAGCACTCAGAACACTGATCAGGGTGGCAGGGTAAGAGCTCTGTTGTTACCAGATGTGTTATTTGCCCAGTTAGGTATGTATCCTGGGAACACCCGGGAACGGGACACACCTCTTATCCTAGCACTCCAGAGGCTGAAGCAGGAGGATCTCAAGCAGAAGGCCGCTTTGGGCCACATAACAAGATCCTGTGTCAAAAACAAACAAACGAAGTAAGATAGAGGCCTGGCTGCGGTACCAGAGATCACGGTAACAGTGGCCGAAATAAGACAGAGGCACACCCTCTCAGAGTGGTCTCGGCAGAAGCGGCTCAGGACTAAATGTGGCAGCTCCGCAGTCCCAGGGACCCAAGCTCATCCAGTCTTGTCCATCCGCCCTCCTCATTGTGTGGATTCTATCTTGAGGCCTCGGATGCCGCCTGCTCCAGCTCCATGCACAGGTCTAGTGAGGGAGAGGGTGAGTGTGCATCTTTCTCTCACGGATACTGCCCAGAAGTGGCACGCATCTCCTCCTTCCCCTCATGTCCATCAGCTAAAGCAGGCTGAAGTTTTGCACAGTAAGCTGGAGAAGCAGCCTTGGGCTAAGGGGTCAATCTTGCCTCCTTAAGATTCCACGGCTAAAGAAAGAAGAAATGGACTAGGGGCACAGCTCAGTGGTAAGAGTGCTCGCTTAGTACGTACAAGGGCCTGGGTTCGATTCCCAGCACCACCACAGAGAGGGGGCAGGGGTTGCTAAGTGCCCTTCCTGTAGTGTGTTCTTGGCTCAGAGTTTTTGGTTTTTTTCCCCTTAAGACAGGGTCTCACACTGTAGCCTAGGCTGGCCTTGAACTCATGGCAATCCTCCTGCTTCAGCCTCCTGCATGCTGGGATCACAGGTGTAGACCACTATGCCTCGCTTTGGCTCAGCTTTCCATGCTGAACTTTGAGGCACCCTTCCTTCTTCCTGCCACCCTTCCATCCCTAGTTCAGCTGACTTCTGTCCAGCCTCCTCCTTTCTGTCCCCTCCATGTGCAACTTCTAGTCCAGACCCCTTTCCCTAGCACATCTCTGGAGTCCTCAAAACATTCACCTGGACGTACCTTGGGAAGAAACCATCTGCTGACCATTGGACTCTACCTAAACTGGCCCCAGCAGGCCTCTCAAGATACGGGTCCTCCTCTCAGCTGTACATGGCCCTGCCTCTTCTATCCCTCTCTCCAAAGAACCTCCAAGAGACAGCAAGGGCAACAGTGGACTTGCTCCCAGCATCCACCAGGAGACAGTTGGCCTGAGGGAACAAGTCACTTCTCTTTGGCCTTCCTTTCCAGCCTGGCCCACCGGGGGGCCGGGGCCATGTCATCCCCTCCTCCCTTGCCCAATCTCTCCCCCACCATTGGATGACGTTCTCCGCCCCAGGCAGGCCTTACACCTGCTGAAGAACCCCCACCCCCACTTCTGGCTGGGACCAGACAGGGCTGGGTAACCCTGGGCCTTCCTGGTAACCCATAGATCAAGGTCACTAAAGTAGCAGTCTTGTTCTGCTTTGATGGACTGACGCCGTTTTTTCCAGTCACAAGGGCAGGTAGAGGCCAAATTTCCATCAGGAAGAAAGGAGAAGGCAGGGAGAGGGAAGGGGATGGAGGGTAAGTGGGGGAGGGGATGGTGGGTAAATGGGGGGGGGGGATGATGGGTAAGGGGTGGCAGGGATGCCTTCTGCCTTGTTTGGTTTGAGTTGGTGAACAGCTTAAAGGGGGAGCAGATACAGCCGGGGTCTTAAAGCCAGATCAGGGGAGTCTCTGAAATCTAGGCGGAAAGGAGAAATGTCTCTTTTTTATAGGAACCCGGTTCAAGATGCGGGGAAACAGAGAATTATAGAGGAATGGCCGTGCTTGCCGTGACCTCCCACAAAGACCCGAGGCGCTCGCCCCCGAGTCCCAGGACACGGCAGTCCCTGAGCCCTCTGCTTTCGCTGAAGCCGCCAGCTGGGTCAGTACTGGGTCTGTGACTGGAGGTCCCAGCAGGCGAGAACTCCTGGCTGTGTGGCTGGGAAGATAGGGATCACCGCCGCCGCCGCCCCCCCCCCCCCCCCGCACCCTGCCCCAGTCCAGGAGGGATTTGCATGCATTTGCTTAAGTTATGCACAGCACAGACTCACGTCTATATTTAGTTGTAAGGAAATAACTTCATCCTTTCTCCAACTGAAATGGGGGCTGTTTTAAGGTAGTCAAGAGTTCTCCTCTCAATTGTGTTGCGCCCAAAACTGTAGGGGGGGGGGGTTGAGACATTCAGTAATTCGAACAGTTGAACAGCCCCAGGGCATCCCCGAAAGTTTCCTTTCCTTTTCTCCCACTGATGAAGTTTCCCAGCTTGTTAAGTGAGGAAATGAAACCCCTCCCAGCTTTACGAGGTGAGAAAGGGCCCCGGGAGTTCTCAGAAATTAATCCCTAAACCGTAGGGCAGGGGCCGTACAGGACAACGCAACCACGGAAATTAGGCTAACATTCAACCTCTTCCTTTTCCTTCCTGGTCCCTTTACTTACAGCTTGCAAGTTGTCTGCAGGTGGGAGGTTCTGAGTGCAGGGCACTGTGTGTAGGGTCGGGGGTGGGGGCAGTTACTAATAGAGTCCTTCAGCATCACATGCCTTAAAGTGCTTATAACAACAGCCGTGTGATCGGGTCAAAACAATACGAAGGCAGAACCAGGCAGGGCGCTGTGGAGCACAAAGAGGAAGCGCCCTCGGCCCAGAGAGTAGGTGTAGGAGCTGAGTGAGTATTTCCAGAAGAAAAAGAAGAAGAAGAAGAAAAGGAGCTATTGAAGAATGAGTAATACTAGAGGGTGGGGGAGTAGGTGCCCTGGGTGTTCAGGCTGAGGGAAAGGCATGAGCAAGCATGGAGGCTTGAAATAGCATGGCAGAACCAAGCCGGACACCCAGGCAGCGCCGGCTACCGAGAAGGACCGTGTGCATCCACCCCAGGCTTGACATCATCCTGGGGGCAGTTCTAAGCTAGCAGAGGTTTGGTCCCTTTGAGCACGGTGTCTCTGGCTCCCCTGGGTAGGATTGGCGGGCTGGAGGCCAGCGAGGGGGCTGTTGCAGGCACCCAGAGAAGTGGAGCATGCGGGCAAAGGCATGGGCAGAAGCCAGAGGAAGGAAGAGAGAAAAACCTAGAAGATGCGTCAGAAGGACCAGCTGAGTGGGTGGAGACCAGGGAGATGGGAGGGTCCAGGCCACCTCTGAGATTCCTGCTGCAGACACTTGTTTTGTTTTGTTTTGTTTTTTTCTTCTGTCGGAGAGACTGAAAGGAGGAGGAGGCTACCAGGGAAACAGAAGGGAAAGGCAGAATTTTTTTTTTTTTTTTTTTTTTTTTTTTTTTTTTTTTTTTTTTTTTTTTTAACAGCCAAATAGAGCTGTTAGGCGCCACTCAGGCTGAGAAGCCTCCTGATTGGTGATTCGGCATCTCCTGCTGCTTTTAAACTCAGGCAGCATCCAGCAGCCTCTGGAGGACTTAATTCAATTCAACAAATGCTATTGAGCACCTACTCCTAATGGGGAGAGGGAAGCGAGAGTTCCGACAATTATTGACTACTTAAGTCGTATTAGCAGAGTGTTAAGTGCATTTGTACATAATCTCATCTCCTGTCACAGCTGCCTCAAGAACCTGTCATTTACCTGCGGGGACCTGAGAGGTCAAGTGACTTGTCCAAGTGTGAAGAGCAGTGCCAGGATGTGACGGGGGAGTTCGAAGGTTCCCCCTCTCTAAGACGACAAGAAATTCAGAAGGTTGCAAGTGACTGATGTACAAACTATTTTAAGCAAAACAGGGAATGAATGCATCGGCTTGCTTAACTAGAAAGCACACAAGTCAGCTGACTCCAGGCTCGGCTCGAGCCAGGCACTCCCACCCCGCTGTCAGTTCTCATCCTTGCTCATAAATGAGTAAATCCTTCAGTTCCCTTAGCGTTCATCTTGGCTGAGACGGTGACGGTGGCGTGGCATAGCTTGACAGCTTTGGAATCCCACAGCCTGAGTTCAAATCTTGGCTCCAGCAACCGGCTTCGGTGTGGGTGGTGTTAAGCCCATAGATAGATAGCTTAACTCTTTGCTCTCCTGATTGATTTTCTTCATCCCTGGGTTGGGGCCAGCACTTCTCTCAGACAAAGACAGCAGCCTTGGGGTTCACTCCTGGGGACCCAGGGACTGTTTCTCACCTTATAAAGTGGGGGAGAAATCTCACATTCTCACCTTACAACTGTCTCTTGGGTTTTGTGCAATATTGGAAACAGAATGCAGGGCTTCACGTATGCTAGGCAATCCCTCTGCACCCCACCCCGGGTCCCCTTCTGTGAGATGGCTACAATAATCAGCTCCCCTCAGAGGGCCCTCGCGGGAAGTAAAAGAAATTCTCCACACAAAGTATTTGGAACAGGGTCAGCACCCCAGCATGTCAACTGTGATCCTTTCTATCTCTCCACTGTTTAGGGTGGGTTTTATTCTCTTCCATTACACAGCCCTTCCTCCATGGAGAGAGAGATGGACAGAGGAACTCCCTGGTTGTAAGATCCTTACAGCTTCCGAACTCAGAAGAAGGCCTTCTCTGTTCATGAATGTAGCAAATCTCCAAGTGGACTGGTCAGTTCTGGATAGGTATATGCTTTTCCCAGCAACCCTCTCTGAAGTCAGAGGATAGAGAATTCCCACTAGGCAGCCTCATCTGTGGCCCCAGTCTGTGGGGGAGTGGGGCAAGACACCACAATTCACAGCTCCACTTGGGCCAAAGAGAAGGAGGAGGATTCCTTAAAGATGAGATACGCTGGGTGTGATGGTTGGCACAGTCCTGTAATCCCAGCTACTTAGGAGGCTGAGGCAGGGGATCCAGAATTCCAGGACAGCCTGGGATATATAGCAAGGATCTGTCTCAAACTGGGGTTGGGTTCAGGAGGCTATGAGTATGAAATAAGACATGCTCACCACTCTGTGTTGGGGACTGTTATAAAACATGGAACAGGAAGGAGGCAGAGCTTCTTCTCTGAAAATGTACATCAAACAAGAGAAGATGAGGACAGGTCACATTTGGCTCATGGGACACATACCTAAGGGAAGGACCACTTAGAGCCTGTGAGCCAGACAGTTCTGAGGGCAGTGTGGATGAGGGAGGCCTGGCTTGTGGAGTTTTAAAAGAGTCTCTAGGGCTGATGGAGTGGTATTTTGAATTATGACTCGATGGTTCCGGTCACCGAAGCTGAAAAATCAGCAAACCAAAAATTAATAATGTAAAAAGTTCACTTCTAGATGTCTGGGACCCACTCATGATCCTCTGGGCCCCAAAGGGTCTTGGCAGCAACCACACGTATCAGCACACACAGCCTGTCTTGTAGGCTCAAGCCCGCTCCAACCATAGTTATCTTCACCACAACTGGACTCCATCTCCATCAACATCCTGTCCTGGGCTCTCTGCTGGGATTCCAGCCCTGCCACATAGTGCCCAGCCTCAGCTGTTCTCCATGACCCTGCAAACTGGTACCAGCCGGGTGACTCGTAAACTTCACCAAGTTGAGCTGCCAGCATGAGACGAAGCCTTGGCCCCTTCTGGACCACAGCTCTCGTGTGCTGACCCTGGGGAAGTGTTCCCGGAAGACCTCAGCTCAATGATGCTGCTCCCTGCTTAACCACCCCCAGCTGACCAGCGTCAACTGCCATAGCAAAGCAAAGGTATCACTTTGATTCAGCTGTGACTATGTTATGCATTGTTTAGAGAGGCTTTGGAACTTGCAAAGAGACTTTGGATGTTTTAAAGAGATAGAACGTTTGAAGCTTGAACGTGATCATTTTGAAGACTAAACTGAGACTTTTAGAAGTTGGTAGGTGGGGCTGTAGAGATGGCTCAGCAGTTAAACGCACTTGCTGCTCTCACAGAGGACCCAGGTTCTGGTCTCAGCACCCACAACTGCCCCCAGGGGCTCTGATGCCTTCTTCTTACTTCCAGGGACCTCTGAACACACATGGTATACATACACACACTCAAGCACACACATACATATATAATAAAATAAATATATTTTCAAGTTGGAATGTTTTATATTGTGATGTTAATACGAGATCTTAAGAGTCAACAAGAAAGGAAAGGTTATCGCTTAACAGTGATGTGTTTGTGTATCAAGCTGACAAGGGGTCAATTGTACCGGCTAGTTTTAAAGTCAACTAAACACATGCGAGCGTCATTTGGGAAGACAGACTCTCAGTTGAGAAAATGCTCTCACCATATTGGCCTATGGGCAAGCCTGTGGGGCATTTTCTTAATTAATGACTGACGTGGGTAGGCCCATACCGCAGTGGGCAATGCCATTCCTGGGTGGGTGGTTCTGGTGGGTGAGGCCTTGGAGAAAAGCCAGTAGCTCTCCTTGTGGCCTCTGCTTCTATTCCTGCCTCCAGATTCCTGCCACGAGTTCTTGGACTGGCTTCTTAGGCTACAAGTTATAAGAGGAAATAAACCTTTTCCTCCCCGAGGAGCTATTGGACACAGTGTCTTATCACAGCAATAGAAACCTTAGCTAAGTCAGGGTAGAAAACATAATCTTCAGAATGAAGTTGGGGTAACAGCACATTCAGAAAGCAGGTTGAGGTGAAGGAGAGTCTGATGACTGGCTCAGGAAATAAGCAGCTATACAGGATATTGAATTATCAAGACTGGGAGCAGGGTACTCACAGTGCTGAGGAGCACCGTGAGTCAGACACTGAGGACATTTAGAGTCCTGCAGTTAGATGAACTGTCATCAGGAAGGGAGAAGCCAGCGTAAGCAGGCGGCCAGATGGAGGAAACAAAGAAAGAAAGAAAGAAAGAAAGAAAGAAAGAAAGAAAGAAAGAAACAAACAAACAAACAAACAAACAAACAAACAAACAAAGAAACAAAGAAGGGAGGGAGGGAGGGAGGGAGGAAGGAAGGAAGGAAAGAAGGAAAGAAGGAAGGAAGGAAGGAAGGAAGGGAGAAAAGAAAATAAAAGAAGGCTCCTTAATTCCCAAAACCCTCCAGAAACTTCTATATGACTCATGTGAACTCCAGTTCATCTAAGGCAAGAGAAGCTGACTTTTTAAAAGTAGTTTACAAATATGCAGCCCTCGCAATGTACATTCACTCCTTCACTCACATGTTCAGCATTTGCTGGACCAGGTATGGAATCTTCAATTCCAGCACACTTAACATGTATTGAGTATTGTGCTGAGTCCTCAGGACCTGGTTTCAGACCTTGATGAGCTCAGTGTGCGGTGCAAACTAGTATTCTGTTTGTAACTGTTGATCTTTGTAAGTTTTCCATTATGGAGAAAAAATAATTGAGGGGTTTCTGTTGTTGTTTTGTTTTTTGCTTTTTTCCAGTCCTGGGAATGAAACCTAGGGCCTCCTGCATGTTAGACATGCACCCTAACCACTAAGCTATATCCCAAGCCTGACTTAGGCCCTTGGCCTGAGATACTTTTTAAAAAATCTTTTGTAGACAAGGTTTCATTTCCTAGACTGGCCTAGAACTTGCTAGATAGTAGAGAAGTATAGCTGGAGAGTTTTCTCTCCGGGTCCCATGAAGCCCTGGCAGTCCGACAGCCCACTTATAAAATAAACACACAGATGCTTATATTATTTAAACTGTTTGGCCTAATGGCTCAGGCTTCTTGCTAACTGTTCTTATATCTTAAATTAACCCATTTCTATAATTCTGTACCTTGCCTCGTGGCTCGTGGCTTATGTGGCTTACCAGCATCTTCACATGCTGCTTGTCATGGCGGCTGGCAGTGTCTCCCTCTGCCTTCCTGTTCTCTCAATTCTCTTCTCTGTTAGTCCTGCTTATACTTCCTGCCTGGCCACTGGCCAATCAGTGTTTTATTTATTGACCAATCAGAGCAACACATTTGACATACAGACCGTCCCACAGCAGAGAAGGACCCTGAACTCCTGATTCTCCTGCCTCCACTTTCCAGTGGTAGGATCTCAAGGGTGAGCCGCTATGCCTGGTTTGGGGGTGGGGTGGGGGTGGGGGTGGCGTGAGTTCAGAACTTAGCAAAGCACTGAGCCAACTGAACTAGAAGCTTTTAGGTTGGTTGGTTGGAGAGTTGGTCAGTGTTCTTGAAACAGTCTTGTAATGTGGC